TATGTATGCATGCATGTATGTATGTATGTATGTATGTATGTATGTATGTATGTATGTGTTGATACATGTATGTACGTATGTATGTATGTATGTTTGTACGTACGTACGTACGTACGTACGTACGTACGTACGTACGTACGTACGTACGTATGTATGTATGTATGTATGCATGTATGGATGTAAGTGTGTAGAAACACGTTCATGATGTGCAAATGCAAATGTGCTACAGATTTTCACATCTTGTATTCTTGTGGGCTTGTCATTGAAAGCTGACATGTTCCTAAATGCGGCTTTGCATGTAATGAACTATGTACTATGTATTGTACGTCTGTATGTGTTTATGCATGTCTGTGAGTGAAGACCTTGCCGTAAGTTAAGACAAAGGAGTGTGCCTTCACCCACAGTGTGGGTGGAGGCGCACTCCTTTGTCTCAACTTACGGCAAGGTCTGTCAAGTCATGTTTGCCAGATGGTGCGCTGCGATGCAATGTGACGTCATACGTTTCACGTAAGTTTTGTATTATATTTGTCATGTCAAGCCATGTGCGGCCATGTCGCGCAAGCAAGTTTGAGACAGTGACATCGCAGAAAATATGCATGTACGTGCACGTGCACGTGTTCATGCATGTGTGTATGTATGAACTTATTTGTCGAGGTATCTGCATATCATATCTATGTATCGATGCGTGTACATACTTGCGTGTGTGCTCATGTGCTGCATGTGTGGATGAATCTGAAAGCATGCATGGGTGCTTGCGTCTATGCATGTGTATAAGTGCAGATCCTCAGATCAGCTGGTTAGCTAGTCAGCTGGCTGGCTAGTTTCTCCTTTGCCGACATTGCATACCCTGTTGATCCCGGGAAAGATCGGACGGGTTCTATTTTGAAGGTGGGGGGTATGGGGCTGAGGAGTGTTGGTCCACCAAGCATCCGCAAGCTTCGGATAGCTTCCGTGCGTGTCGTGCTGCGGGTGGAGCTCGTGTCTGGCCCCCGTACCCTTGCTTGCCGGACTGTGGTCACTTATTGGGTGACCTTTGTCTTCATCTTTCCATGTCCTCTGCCTGCTTCCCTCCTGCCTGTCGGTCTGTCTCGCGATCAGTTTGTCGATCGGTCCATCGCATGTTTTTTTTGTCTCTCTGCGTCTTTGTTGCCTGTGTGGAAGAACATGTGCTGAAAGTACGTTGAGATTCACCGTTCCCTGCGTGTCGACAGGATCTGTGGCCTCCGGGTGGCATTTCTGTCTGGTGACTACGATGCTCAGAAGCCGCCCGGCTTGGAGATTCCAGTGGCAGCATATCCTCGCGGTATATAATATTGCAAATTGAATATTATCTATATGTATATATATATATGTACATATATATATATATGTATATGTATATGTGAGTTGAACCTTGATGTTCCATTTGACGGCTGCCCCCTTGCCAAGCGTGATTACTGATTACCAAGCAGTTTCTGCTTCATGGCCTATTTAATGTCAAAGCTAAACAGTACTTAGTGCTATTATTTTGGTTTCAATAGGTAGTACAGTGCATTTAATATGAAGTCCAGTAGCACAGATATCCGCCAATACTCAATAAACTTATTTGATTTATGTGTTGCAGCCTCTGTTTGTTAGAAGTCTTAGTAGCAAGGCTATGACAATACTGACATTGATGGGTGCTAGACTGTGTTTAATAGAACTCGAAGTAGCAAAGACATCCGTCAATACTCGGTTCTTCATAGCAAGGTTGTACCAACACTTGATGATACTTTTAATCTAATAGCTGCCAACTTCTTCTCGCCCTCTGCTACCCTGCACAAACCAAGCTACAAGCAGTACAAGAAATGTGCATTTGCACGGCATATTCGTTCCCTTAAACACGTGACAAATATTGCTGAAGTCCGCGAGAGATGCTGAGCACAGACTACTCGCAACTTTTTGATCGTTTCCAGAAGCCTGATTGTAAAGAACAACAACTATAACAAATAACCGGTTTGAAAAGGTTATCGGCTTTGAGCTTAGTATCTTCTTGCGCAGACCGCAACTGCACTGCTCAGACGAAGGCTTTTTCCAACCTCAAGACTAATGCAAGTTCTTCTCGGATTCGACAGATGATGCATCAATATATATATATATATTCTCCACCAAGCACTTAAACAATTGTCTTGTAGACATAAAACTATCTGCGAGAAGAAGAGACTTTCTCTTGCCCGACTGCGGTGTTGGAGTTGGAGCCTTTTCACAGCTGGTGTCCTTGTTGTATTCGCACTAAATTTGCTTCAATTGAAAACCATTCAAATCTTGAAGCTAATTACTACGCCTTATGAAAAATGTTAGAAGTCTGGGTCGCAGCAGTCTTTGGCTGCGTCTTTGGCTGCGGACATTTCCCCTTGAAGGATCTGCCCACGGCTGTGGTCTTCTCTTCCCTGTTGCGCCGCTGCGTTTCTGCGTCTTGTGGCATGCCCGGTTGACGAGCAGCTGAAAAAGGGAGGTCGCCAAACAGAGTAAGCATACAACAATAGCTCCTTGTCCACAATGCTGGTCGACATCTCAGATCTACTTCGAAATCTGTGAACTATGTACTAGCACTAACTACGCGCACGATGCATACACAGACAAATCAGAAGAACTTGCTTCGGTCATTCATACAAACATCTAGATTGTTCTAGACAACTACGAAATCGCTAGTCTAATGAAAACCTTTTTTTTGCGTTGCTACGAAACCGAACAAATCAAGCTTTTAGAATACAGCTGAAAAATGAAAAACAACAAGATTGCCTGTACCAGTAGTAGTACTTGTATTGGTAGTGCAGACACCCCTTTTTCACGAATAAGTGCAGCAGCTTGCTGAGCTCGATACCTGAACAGCGAAAAGAAAGACTGAATATACATGACAAGACAAGCATATACAGATATGTACGTAGAACCTTCCACTTTAAAGTCTTGAATCTGTTCGAACCATTAAGTCCAATTTCTGATTTCGGATAAATGAAGTTCAGCAGCAAATTGACAACTTCAATCGAACAACAGTAGATATAATCAATAAGCGTTTCATTTCTTAAAAAAATACATTATTGAATAAAGTTTTTTGATTTTACTTAGGAAAGTTTGTAAATATCCAATGAACAAATCCTAGCGAGACACACTTGGGATACGGCGATTTCGGCACTGATTTCAAATGTAGAACTTTTTAAGAACTTTTTAGATTAAACAAATTTCACTATTCAAAATCATGATTTAAACTTAAAAATTTACTGCAGACATGTTTTAAATTTTAAATCGGTCCAGAAATCCTCGTCTCCCAAACCAAGACTGGGTTTTTAAATGTAAGAATGAATTTTTTTGTATAAAGAACTTTTTACTATTTTTTAACTTTTACATCTGCCCTGGGTTTGGGAGAAGGAGATTGCGGACCCGATTCAAAATTTGGAAAATTGAAATTTTTTGAAGTTAAAAAATTTCAAGCATTCAAACGTTTCAAATTAACAATAATTTTCAGAAGGAAATCTCAAGATGTTTACATTTCAAGCACTAGTCTCGGTTTGGGAGAGAAATTTCGGATCCGATGTAAAATCGAAAAACTGTCTAAACATATTGAAAATTCTAAATCTTCAAAAATGCAAAATTTGTTATTAATCTATTAATTTCAAACTTTTAAGTACCGAAATTTTGAACATTAGCCTCGGTTGGGGAGAAGGACATTTCGGTACCGATTTAGATTAACAAAATTCAACAGATTTGAAATTTAAAACTTCAAAAAAGTTTAAACCTCATTTTCTAGTAAGGAATATTTTTGATCGTTAAAGTTTAAATCGGCCCCCGAATCCTCGTCTCCCAAACCGAGGAAAGATTTAACCACGTAAAATTTTGCGTATTAAAAAATCACATTGCTAAATGTTGAATATCTAGCATTTCTAACTTCTAAAAACTTTTAAGATTTCTAAACTTGAATCAGTCCCGAAATCATCGTCTCCCAAATCGAGACTGGGATTCGAAACTAAAAGATCTAAAATTTTAATAAGGAAATTTTTAACATTCTCAGGCTTTGAATGGTTGAAATTTCTATAATTGAAAAGTTTTCAAGTTTGTAATTTTTCAATCTGTTCCGAAATCCTCGTCTCCCGAACCGAGAGCAGATGCAACATTTAGTTGTTTAATTATTCTTTATTGAAATGTAGTTTTAGACTTTAACTTACTATCTAAAGTTTTCAAACTTATACATTGTCAAAATGTTGAAATTTTTTACTCTGTGCAGAAATCCTCGTCCCCCGAACCGAGGACAGATTTAAACAATTGAAAACTTAACAGTTTCTGTATGAAAAAGCAATTGGAATTTAACATTTTGCATCGGTGCCAAAATTTCTTTTCTCAAACCAAGAGCGAATCAACACCTTGGAAAGTTAACACTGTTCCTTGTTCCGAACAAATGATTTTGAATTTTGAATCGGTGCCGAAATCTGCTCTCGCAAACCAAGCACATTTTTGTTCAAGATATTTTGTTTCTTTGTTAGATATTTTTTGAGATTTGAAAAGCACAGACTCGACCGTCAAATAGAGCATAAAGGCTCTACGTACACATATAAATAAATAAATAAATATATATATATATATACATATATATATATATATTATATATATTGATATGATATCTGGTTTTCGAAGTACTCACCATCGCTAGGTGTTGTCCTTCTGGGTCGTGTGAAGCTATGCATGCTGCAGTGGCGGCATCCGACTTATGATCCGCATCACAAGCCTCTGTGCCTCGACAGCTCAAGACCGAAGTTTTCATGATTCGCTTTTGATTTTCTCGCATCATCTGCCTGAAGGTATGAGACACCTGGCGCAGACTTTGTCGGGAGCGCATTCACAGCAAATGCTGTGAGTGGCTTGAGGCCAGCCGGGAAGCTGGCGATTGGGATTCCCTTCGATGTGGTGCAATGTTGCGATGGCTCAATCTTCGGGCCGGTTTAGCCAGCATGGTGTGGACAAAGCCACCTGCAACGGATCTTCACAAAGTAATGTATCGGGTGAAGACTGAGGTTCAAATCGCACAAGCATCCTACAGCCACTCATCTTTGGACGACTCAGCTCAATTTGTCGAGCCCCATCGAAGAGCTGCTTTGCATGGCTCCAGGCGCGTTGTCGCGGAGGACAAATGGAAACGCCGCTTGGCCTTGTAACGACCGAGTTGCCCGCAGCCGGGGACACCTCATGCCCAACCCAAAACGAGGCCATGACTCCCATCCCACAGAGTAGACCTGACACGTCTGAACATGCTCCTCAGCGCGCCGCCGCTGAGGGGGTATCGACGTTTTGTTGACCAGCGGCTGGCCTCTGGGCCTCGACCAGCGCCTGGAGGCTCGCCGAAGCCAAGAAAGGGGAAGCTGGGAACCCGAAGCCGGCAACTCTGCTCGGTTTCCGGTCGAGGCTGCCGCAAAGCCTCCAGAAGTGGAGGGCTCTCGCTGGCAGGCGGCGGGCCGAGAATGCAGGGCTGTGGAACTGGGGCTAGGTGTGCGAATGACCTCGCATGAACGTTGGATGAGACGGGTGTGCCTTGCATTCGCATTTGCCACGTGGATCTAGAGAAGGTGAGTTTCGATGCAGGCAGCCCTTGCGTTCCTTGTCGGCTTCGTGACCATTGCAGCATCTGTGAGTAGACAGATCAACTTTGTTCATCTTAGCAGCGATCTTCCGTTCAATTTGTTCGACACTTACATGGCTATCTTCATTCAAGCTATTTCCACGCGGGTGAATCCTGAAAGTTTCGACGGATCGAGATTCCCGGTCTTCCTAAAGCCCCACCAGTGAGAGCAGGTCAGCAACCTTTTCGAAGTTTTTGAAGCTGAGTACAGTCCCCGCAGTTTGCGAGATAGCAGGATGCTGCTGCACCGCCATTTGCGGAGCTTTGTGCGGCGCTCGAGCCACGTGCGGGCCCTGACAGCCCAGCATCGCTCGAGAATCGCCCTGGGTCTCGGGCAAGGCCTGCACTGTGCCTGAGGCTATCACATATGTGGTACAGCAGACATCTTCTACCAACGGACGCCATTTAAGGTGCAGCTTCTTTTTCCTAGTGTGGTCCGTGCTGTGCTGTGCTTTAACGGAAGGCACTGCGGAGGGAGCATGCCTGTCGCTGTATAGGTGCCCTTCAGACGGCCTGTCTGGGCGTCTCCGTTTGCGCCTGTCCTGTCTCCAGGCCTCGGTCGCGTTGGGAGCACCTCGAAGCAGCGGAAGTGGCTCCACGCTTTCTCGCCGCTCGCCCGGCGATACTGCGGAAGTGGGGTCAACGGGAGTGCGGGGTCCCAACGCGATCCAGGCTCAGTCCCATGGACTGCATGAAGAAAGAGGACCTCAGGCTGTTGCCTTCAGGCCGGGGCTGAGAAGAAGCTGCCAGCAGCTGCTAGCGGGTCACAGACGCTAGGCACCGGCGCCTGCCCCTTCGCGGCACCTGCGGCCCGGCGGGCAGAGGCAGAGGCGCTTAAACCGGCTCGAGCCGAGCGCAGAGATGAGCGCAGAGATGTCCCGACCTTGGGGAGGTCTCCGCCAGCCGGCCCGAGAAGCTTGCCAAGGCCACCGGGCCCCGCTGCGTGATCCGCCGTGCTGGATATGTCTTCGACGTCGGAAGAGTTCATTTTCTTTCTTGTCGTCAGGACCACGGGGCCGGAGAGGCCGCCTTGGCTGCGCTGATGGCCGGGGATGCCCCCGCCTTTCAGAAGGCCCTGCTGGCCTTGAAGGACGGAGCCGTGCTTCCTTTCTGCGCTCTGCTCGTTCGCATTTTCCCATGTCGAAATTGCAAAAGGAGAGCGTGGTGTGGATGGGCAACGTGAATGCGGAGGTGGAGCGGCCCAGCAAGAAGGCAGGCTCTCGGCCTTCCTCAGAGTCGTGGAGGGAGAGAGACGTGGAAGAAGCGAGCGAAGGCGAAGACCGAGGAAGAGCCGAGGCTCCCTCGGCCGCGGCAGAGAGCTCTGCCTTTTTTTTTGCGGCGCTGTGCGCTTGCGTCGGGGCTTGGCCGTCGCAGGGAAGCTCCGCTGCTTGCGGGACCTTCGCCCGTCTCCAGCGAGAGGGACCCGGCCGCCCAGCCCACAGCCTTTAGCTGCCTTTAGCTGCTTTAGCCTTTTTAGAGTATTTTAGAGCTGCAGGGATCTCCAGATTCCTTCCCACAAAAAGCCGCTACTGCTCACTAGTCGCCGAGGAGGACGAGGAGGAGGAGGACGCGGCCGAGGCAGGACCTTGACCAGATGCGACTCGCGATTTTGTCACCGAGATTCTGTTGGAAGAAATTGGAAGAAACGAGGGTCACAGTCTCAGCTTTTCTTTGTGTCAGGCGGCTGCTGCTCGCCAGCAGGCGCAGGACAGGATTGCAGATTGCCTTCTGCCCCGATCCGACCCAGCTCCGAGCCGAATTGCTTATTCGCTGGTCAACATGGCATGGTCAATGTGAGGATGTGAGAGGACAAGTAACCCCTACCTTGACAAGCTATGACAAGCTCTACAAGCTGTGAGGAGAATCTGAGCAAGCCGCCCAAGAAGGGCATCGTGCCTCGGCACATACGTTTTTTTGACATAGGTAGTGCAGTAATACCCTTCGACTCGCTTATTTTGGCAACTCCTTGCGGACCCTTTTTCTCAACGGGTTGCTGGAAGGCATTCAGTCGTCCACTCAGGTACGATATACCTTCAGAGACGAAGGTTTGCTTGGGATACGCTTGTCCCGAGACGTGCCTCCTTGGATTTTGGAGGCGTGGGCCTTGGATGAGCAAGTTGTCGCGCGGTTGCTGCGGTTGCATGTGCCGAGGTTAGGGAAGGGACTCTCTCGTACAGAAAGAACCCTCGCGTTCCAGTCGGTGGGGCTGCTTGGCCAGGATTGAGAGCCAGATATTGTCAGAGACGGGGAGGCTTGTCGTCGGCAGCGACCCTTTGATGCTTCCCAAGCCGAGGTCGTCATCGCCATCAATGGTTATGACCTGTCCAGCAAAGAGAACCCATCGGCCATCAAAGCGCGGATGCCTTACGAAGGTTTTTTCGTTGACGGCCTTATCGTTGCTGTTGCGCTCTGCCGCCAAGGCTGGCAAAGAGGCCGGTCGTTCTGGACGTCGACTGGCCCATCGATATACCGATGCCTGCTGCAAGCTCTGCTTAGAGCGGAAAAATCAAGCTATGCACATAGGCGACTCTCTATCGGGTGAGTGGGGGGTTCGGAGCTGATCTTGCTGACTCTGCCAAAGACATTGAACAGAGTCCTTTCCTTGGATCAGGGCCTCTGAATCTGAGCCTGCGAAAGAGAAAAGAGAAAGTGTTTCACCGGATAAGAGCCATCTTTGCGCTGTTTTCTTTTCTTGGCATCGCTGCTCTTAGCTGGGCCGACGCCCGTGACCACGAGGCCGCTGCACTTAACCGCAGCTTTTTATATTTGCGTAAGACCCTGTGGGATTGGGGCAGCACCGGAGCCTGAGGGCAAGTTTGGGTTTTGGGAACAGCGTGGTTTTGAGGAGGCTTGCAAGTTTTCACCTGCAGGCTGGTTGGTGGGGTTCGGCATGGACAGTGGAGGGCCAGGCGCGGCGCAGGCTGCGCATGCCCAGGCGGGGCAGCAAGGTGGAACAGTTCCACTTGAGCAGGTGGACCGGCTTCTGAGGCAGCGGCTGGAACAAGCTTTCAATGGTGTTTTCGGCGAACTTTTGGCCACAACGGAAAAGGCGGCGGCAGCTGCAGAGGCAAGCGCGAGCTCACACAAGACAGAAAGTATGATGAAGGGCCTGAAGGTAGACACTTTCAAGCCCACCACCAGAGAGGAGGAGCTTCGTGGATGGAAAGAGTGGTGGTTTGGGTTTTCTACTTATGTGTGTGGGCACGACCCTGCCTACGAAGATGATTTCAAGGCAATCGACCTCAGTGTGGAGGTGGACCACAGTCTAATGAGCGACCCCGAGGTCGAACAAAGCAGGAAACTTTACAGCCTGCTTTGTTTTTTGCTCAAGGGGCGACCTTTGCTGTTGATCAAAGGGCTGGAGTCCTCAAAGAACGGCATCGAAGCTGTTCGTCTACTGCGTCTTGCCATGGAGCCGCAGGAGAAGACGCGCAGCCTTGCATTATTGAGGCAATTGGCTACATGGACCTTTCAGAGTGGCGTCGGGCTACAGGAGCAGATTGTGAAGTACGAGGAAGCTTTGAAAATGTATGAAGACGCAAGTGGCAAGGAGTATCCCCAGGAAATGGTTCTGGCGACGGTGGTGAATGGTCTGATGGACCCGCTTCGCAGTCAGGTGCAAATGCGCCTGACCAACCGCACCACCTATGCTGAGGTGAAAGAATGGGTCATGCAGTTTGAAAATCTCAACGCCCCGTGGAGCTCTTCGCTGCAAGGTGGCCGCGGAGGAAGACGAGACGAGCCGCAACCCATGGAGATTCAAGAGCAACAAGGGCAAGGACAAGAGCGGCAAAGGAAAAGGAAAGGACAGCAAGGGCAAGAGCAAAGGGAAGCCTGGAGAAGGAAAGGGCTGGAACTCCTGGAACAGCTGGAGCGACGGCGGTGGCAAGTGGAAACAGCAGGCTGGAACGTGGAAGCAGTACAGTGACGCAGGCTCAAGCACTGGTGGTTGGAGCAATGGTGGTGGTTGGAACAATGGCACCTGGAACGCGGGAAGGACAACAAGGGCAAGAATGGAAAAGGAAAGGGCGGAAGCTGCAATATTTGCGGGGACTTGCGGCACTGGAAGAACGAGTGTCCCAAGGCGAAGGGCAAGGGCGTGAGCCAGGTGGAGCAGCAAGTGTCATCGGCGAGTTCGGCGGCTGGTGCTTCTACGGCGGCTTCGTCTTTGCCTTCGTCTGCCTCGGCCCTTAGGGGTCAGATGAACTACGGGGTCAACCGCGTGAGTGCCTTTCAGTGCGGGACATGCCGAGTGACCGAAGTGTTCGATATTTCTGAGCTGGAAGATGAAGGGGAGTTCTCGCTGGAGGGCCCGAGGTTCTTATGATTAGTGCGGTTGACCTGGCTGCTTTCCCCGCGGTGCAGACCACTGTGGAGGAGGACATCCTTGACATCCCGGCCGGTGTCCCTGTCTTCTCCATGGACCACACTGACGGCGACGGCCTATACACCTTGGCCGGGGGAGAGCCAATGTCTTTGAAGTTCTGGCTGTGTCGGGCCAGACCCAGGAGGTGGATGTTGTCATTGACAGCGGGGCCGATGTTTCAGTTGCCCCTCTTCGCTTCAAGGCCTTTGGCTGCCCTACCAGGCTGTCGGGGATCCTTATGCAGGACGCCCAGGGCCGGCAGATAGCTGAGGTCGACACGAGGATCCTTGAGGTGGGGATCAAGACCTTGGCCGGCGACGAGGTGACGATCAGGGAGCGCTTCTGCATAGCAAAGGTGCGGTCAACAATCACTTCCTTGGGCCGGCTACTTCGTGCAGGCTGGCTTCTTGGAGATGAAGGAGGGAGGCCGGTTATACACAAAGGCCCCCACAAAGTCCCAATACGCTTGTGGCGCAATACTCTCACAGTTGGCGCCATGATCTCCGAGGTGACCGCGCCGGCCGACCACGAGGAGCCCGAAGACCACGAGAAGCCCGAGGACCGCGAGGTTGAGCCGGAGAATGAGGGCAACAGAGGAAAGGAACGAGAGGCCAGACGGGGCATCAACATGCTGACTTTCGACGATATCGGCCCCTTGCTTCCTGAACTTGAAGATGTTGTTCAGGTGCCTGGGTGGCACATTGTTCCCAGCGGTCTTCCCGTGCCGGCGACCCACGCCACAGAGGAACTCGAGCTAGAACGTCCCCTATGGAATGTCAGCGATTGGAGCTGGCTGGCCGTCTTTGTCAAGATCGAGGCTAGCAAGGGCCTTCCCAAGGCCGGGGATGCATGGGTCCAGGTGATGGCAATGGAGACCGAGAACTTTGAGACGGCCCCCAAAGGTCCTGGCTGAAATCGACGAGGAGCTGGCCGGGAAACATGACACGGTGATGGTGCTGCATGTGGACGAGCTGCCAAGGAACCTGACAGAGCCCAGGGATTACTTCAAGGAGCCGTTCGCGATGGAGGTTGTCGGCGAGGGGCGCACCCACGAGAAGGAGCAGCCCGATGACATTGAAGAGTTGGAAGGGGTGCGGCTGGAACAAGCCACGGCCATGAAAGAGCTTCAGCGACAAGATGGGTCTTCCCAAGTCCGGGCAGAAACCAAAGGTGCTTAGGCGCCTGCGCGACTACTACGAAACCTTGTGGAGAAGCGCCTCAGCGCAGAGGTCGCGAGGAAGATGTACCAAGAGGCTGAGCGGATCCCGGACATGCCAAAGCTGCCTAAGCTGCCAAGTGTGATGCAACAGCAGTTGCCCAATGTCACACATCATCCCTTTGCTGCTTGGTGTGAAGCTTGCGTTCTTGGGCGCTAGAAGCAGACTGCGCACCCCAAGCCCAACCCAGAGCAGCCAGTCGAGGAAGTGAGGAAAACGCCAAAGATAGAGATCGACAACTGCTACACCTTCACGAAGCATCGTCATGAACTGCAAGAAAGCGAAGATGATGGACCCAGGGCCCCAGACGCCCAGGGCGAGGGAGATGGAGATGATGCCGCCCGCAGTCCCGAAGCCGAGGCTGAGGAGCTCAAGGCCGCGAACCCCGCGTTGATTATCGGGACCGGTTCGGTCTCACTTTGGTGTCGGCAGAGAGCAGCACAGGGTGGCTGCTAGCGATCCCGGTGCTGGAGAAAGGAGCCGGAGCTCTGAAGCGCGTTGTGGAGCAGCTGGTGCGATTGTCTTTGCAGGTTGCCCCTGGCCAGAGCGTGCTCTTTCAAGGGGACCCTGAACCCTCGATTCGGCAAGTCATCAATGCATGTGAGGCCTGTCGCTCCAGAGTAGGCCTGGCCACTGAGAAGCGGTGGGTGCCACGGGGAAGCCACGCAAGCAACGAGCAAGCCGAAAGAGCGATCCAGACCATCAGGACCAACGGGCTGACCGACCCTCAGATCCTTTGTGGAAGCAAGGATTAGAGCCTCAATCGCCTCAATCGAAGGCCACAGACACGTTTACCCCTGGGTCATGCGACATGCTGGGTATCTGTGTAACAGATTCTCGGTAAATCCTCGCGGCGCCACAAGTTACGAACTGATGCATGGCCGGGCTTTTCGTGGACAACTTGTGCTTCTGGGCGAACAAGTGCTGTATTACCGGCCAACGAAACGTCGAGGAGACTTGCGGTGGTGCAGGGGCACGTGGTTAGGTGTCAAGGAATGGGGCACACCTGATCGGAACGGCCGAGAGGATCCACGAAACCCGCTCCGAACGGATGAAGGAGCTGCCTTGGTCGTACATGGGCCATGGGAAGCGCAAGAGACCGCTCTACACAGGGGCGGCTGCAACGAGAGTTTCGTTGTTGCCCGACTCCAGTCGAACTCCAGTACCACCCTCCAGGCCTGGGCCTGGGCCTGGACCTGATGAAGCGGCGTCGGACCCTTCCTCAAGCCCAAGTTCGCGCGGTGGCAGAGGAGGTGACCAAGACAACAGCCAACAGGCACGAGAACCAAGCAGACCACAGGAGGAATCACAACAGCGACTTCAAGCACAAGGGGGTGACCACAGCCAACAGGCACGAGAACCGACCAGACTACAGGAGGAATCACGACAGCGACTTCAAGCACAAGGGGGCGAAGCTGGCATGGATGTCAGTGGGAGTGGTGGGGTCGCAAGGGAAAGGGCAGAGGAGACAGGAGTCGTGGCACCGCCGGAGTTTGCCGGAGTGAACCAGATCCACGACGACATCCCTACCCAGGAGCTTGTCGGGCTTGACTGACGGCTGGGACCCTCAAGTCGAAGAGGTCTTGGAGGAGGAATGGTACAACGTAGATGGTCTAGATGAAGCTCGGTGGGACGCGTTTGGCGAAAAGCCCCCCAAAGTCACGGACATTGGAAGGCCGACTTAAGGAGAACGAGGACCTCTCCCAGCACGAGCTCTTGACTACCAAGCTGGTCCGGGACTGGCGGAAAAGGCCCGGATGGACACGCAGGGCCAGGCTGAATTTCGAACGATGTCGGCGTGGTCAAGTGACATGTTTGCCCCCGCCAGCTCCTTGGCGGTGGTGCACACGACCATTGCTTACGCCCTCACGAATGGCTTGGAGCCCTCGACGTGAAGGACGCCTACCTCAACGTGGACCAGCCGAGCAAGGTGATTATCCAGGTGAGCGCCGACCTCTTCGAGGAGGGTGGCTCAGGCTCAAGGACCCTCGTGCTCGAGAAGCTGTTGCCGGGGCAAAGAGTGGGAGCTAGCAGCTGGTACGAGATGGCCAAGAGCATCCTAGAAGAAGCAAAGATGGTGAGCTTTTCAAAGGAGGCGACGGTGTTCAAGGCGATAGGTGGCGAAAAGAGCGCAATGATCTTGCATGCAGATGACGGTCTGCTCGCCTCCACCAAGCCTGAGCGAGAGCAGATGATTGGAGTTTTCGCCAACAAGGTCAAAGTTCAAGTTGGCTCCCCCATGGTGGAAGAAGGAGATATGTGCGAGTTCTTGAAACGAAAGTACGTGCATGTTGCAAGGGGAGTGGCGGTGTACTCCAACGGCAAGTACCTCGAGGCCCTCCTCAAAGCAGCCGGCAACAACATCAAGAGGAGAGACAGCCCAGCGGACCAGACCTTCCAGGAGCCGGACGACACGAAGGAGCTCGACCCAAGGGGTGCGAAAATGTTCAAGGAGTGCGTGGGCCGACTCTTGTATTTATCGCATTCCCGACCTGACATTCAAATGGAGGTCAAGGCGAAGCAGAACGAGCATCCAGCTCTACGTGGGAGGTGGACTGGTTGGCAGCATGGTCCGCAGCCAACGGTCCATCGCCCGTAGCTCAGCCGAATCGGAATATCTGGCCTTGGTCAGCGGGGCTTGCGAGGCAACCTACCTGGTGGATGTCTCCAGGTTTCTGGTGCAGGAAGAAGCAGAGGTGAGGCTTACTTGCCTCACCGACCCAGCGGCCTGCAGGGGCATCTGCCAGCGCCTCGGCGCAGGCCGGGTGAGGCATCTCCAGTGTGCTGTCCTGTTGGTGCAGCAGGCAGTCCGTAGCAAGCAGCTACGGATCGGGACCATAAGCGGCAGCGACAACCCTGCCGACATTGGCACGAAACCCCTAGGGGGTGGTCGCAGCAGAGAGCTTCTGTGGACAATGGGGTGCTTGGAGGCGGACGGTTCCGCCTTGAAGACTATGAGGCTGCACAGCAAAAGAGGGCAATGACCATCGCGCTCAAGGAGATGAAGAACAGTGGATACAAAGTGAACAGCGTGAAGGCGATCCTGCCCTTGGTGCTTCTACTTTCCCAGGTTGGTGTGGTTCAGGGCTTGGGCCTGGCGGCGGCTGCACCAAGGTTTGGAGATGATGAGATGATGATTGGATCGCCACGCTCGCCGTGACAATCGGGCTTGGCACCTTTATGCTGATGTTCGTCTGCCGGCCGAGATTGCCGTAACCACAAGCAAGGGCGAGCGATATCACCGTCCAACTTGCGGTAATGTAACGCGCACCGCTTTTAGAGTGTACACGCCATGTATGGCATGTTTTGGAACAGGCTAGAACAGAAGGGCCTCTTTTCTCCGAGTGCAGTTGCGACGCCTGCAAGTGCATCGCAACTGAGGCGGGGTGCAACACTTGTGACCCTGCCCTTTGTACACACCNNGAAATCAGAGCGAGAAAGTGTTTTCAGATAGCACCTGGTGCACAGGATCTTGAATTCTCCGAAGCTCGGAGTTCTCGGCACGCAATTTGCGAACCAACTTCTCAAACTCATCTAGTTCTGCCCGCTGCTCAGCAATCACACGGCGCATTTCGGTGCAGCGGTTGACATACTCGTTTGCAAATCGCTCTTCTCCTCGGCTCATTCCCAAGTTCGCCTGCACACCCTTCGCGCAACGCTCTTGTCCGTCATCTCCCTGGCCTCGGAAAATTCTGAGGCTCCACTTAAGTAGCCTCATTACTCCCCAAGCCAAGGGAACGGGCTTGGGATAAT